GATAAGAATGTTTTAAGATTTATAGCAGTCTGGGATGTACCAAGATTTAATGCCCAAAAAACCGATTGTTCCATCCTCAGTTTCAAGCTTTAAAGATCAAAAGCCAATCAATAACATTCACAAATTATTTTCTACAAAATATTTTAAATAAATTCTGAGTTGATCAATCATTCCCACTGTGTTTTCCAGCAAATATTCAGCCAAGATACAATACATTAGGGGAAGATAAAGACTTCATGCATTGGAAAAGGAAATGGCAGCCCCCTCCAGTGTTCTTGCCTGGAGAATCCCAGGGACAGGGGAGCCTGATGGGCTGCCGTCTATGGGGTCGCACAGAGTCAGACACGACTGAAGTGACTTAGCAGCAGCAGCAAAGACTCTCTCATGCTCTCTAATTCCAATTTATTGAGTCAGAATTCAGTCACAGTATATAAGGGGTAAAATGCATAAAATGGTGGCGTAGGATTTAAGAGACTGGAGTTATAGATGTGGCTTTGGTGCTACCTAAATAGGAATTACTTTAGCTATATAATTTCATTGGAGTTTAACTGTCTCATCAACGAAAATAAGGAGACTCAATTAGGAAAATCTCTTTCGATTCTAAATTTCTAATAAAAAGTATATTTTCCCTTCATGACATGTAAGTGGAAAAAACAAGTTAGAATATTATGTTTAGCATATGATCCATTTTGTAAAAATAAAGTGAAAATACATGCAGACTTTTACATAGTAACATACTAACAGTGATTACATAGAATTTTTATTTTCTTATTTCACCTACATATATATTCCATTTTTATGAATGTACATGTATTATTTGTGGTCAGAAAAACAGATACTACAAACAATAAAAATTAAAAGTCTTTCTAATGTTTTTAGTGCACTAAGTGTATGCCAGGTTATCAGAAATGTAGCATTCCTGCTTTTGTAAAAGGTTTAAATTCTGAGGATGTGGATAAATTCTAAGATATGGATATAGCTTCCTCTTCATGCAGAAATTTGAAATCCAAGATGAGTCTATTCAAGAAACTAGTTTCTGAAATATCAACCAAAGAAGAATATCTTCAGCACAATATATTGTTCTATCAGATACGCATCACTATCACAATCATTTAAAAGTATTTCTCGTGTTAATTTTCCTAGAATACTATGAAAAATACTGTACACAGTAAGAAATACATTCCTTCCCCCACAGATAAACAATGTTTACTTTTTGTTGTTTTGTTTAGTCCCCAAGTCATGTCTGACTCTTTTGAGACTCATGGACTATAGCCCGCCAGGCTCCTCTGTCCATGGGATACCCCAGGCTAGTGAATATTGGAGTGGCTTGCCATTTCCTTCTCCAGGGATTCTTTCCAACCCAGGGATCAAACCCAGGTCTTCTGCATTACAGGTGGGTTCTTTACTGCTGAGCCATGGGCATGGTTAATTAGACAGGTAAATACATAGTGTGACCAACATGGGAGACAGACATTAGTGGGCTAAGTTTACTAGATAATGTATATTAAATGAAGTCTGAGCTCTTCAGGTTTTAATTCATTGAGACCTTGAACATAGGAGTCATAAGTTTTAACATCCTTCTCTTACTGGTTGTGACAAGGAGAACCTGACCCACACAGGCAAACAGGTAAGCCTGGTTTCACATCCCGCTTCAGATCTTCTGTTCTCTGAATACATGTCCTTGGTTTCTAACTTCATATAAACTACACAAGATATACAAGCAGGTCATTCAAACAGATGACCTTCAGTTTAAGGTGGAATGCAGGCATCAAGGGGATATAATGTCAGAATCAGGTATCAGAATTTCTAGGAATTCCCACATTCAGTGACATAAAAATTAGACATGACCTTAAGCATACCAAGGACAGAAAATTAAGGGGCCAATCCTAAGCAATTTTAGAAATTCTCCAGCCAATTTCTCTATGTCAAAATTGTATTCCTACTTAAAGGTACTTTTCTCTTTATGGCATGAGAATATAGTCTAAGGCCCTCAACCATGCCAGCCTCTTCTCTGGCAGAAGGAGACAAGGGAAAAATGAGAGACCCAGCTTTCTTTAGCACATGGAGCCCTGTTAGTTATTCAAGCTTAGGTTACACTGTAACATTAGAGGAAACACGGCACAGCGTCACAAGGAGAATCTCAAGGAAATATAAAGATGCCTGGCTCCCCACAGCTCATTATAGCTGGAAAATTTTAAAAAAAAAAACCTCTAAGTGATGAAAAATTCAATTGCTTCATCTTCATCTGGAGATGAGCATAAAACCACAAATCCAAATGATGGCAGCCCATTAAATATGTCATCTTGGAAGACTGTATATTTCCAGTGATGCTGTCATTGATCAAGACATCTCTGAGATGCCTCTTTTGAAATTATTTTCACTTTTATGGAGGAGAAAAAAATTCAGTGTCTTGTTACTGTACAATTACATCTTGGTTTTGATACAAAATTGAAAACACCTGGTTTGGTCACCAAGGCCCCTCAGTTAATGAAGAAATCATTGAGGGAAATCACCATATTCAGACAACAAATAAGTGCTGCCTTGGAAAATGTTGGAAGGATCATGCTACAAGGCTCTGAATAACAAGCACATTTTCAGTAATGGTGGCATCACTAGAGCAAAGGATGAGATAACACATCTGGAGAGTGAGCAGGAGATAGGATCCTGCCACACAAAGCACATGGAGATGGAAAGGGAGGCTGGTTCTCTCATTGCCTATCACTGGTGCTGGACTGCAGACAAGCTTCAGAACCCTGGAGGATCAGATGGTTTGGGTTAATGGTGGTATTCCAAACCTTCACAAGGCACAATCTAAGTAGCATTGCAGGAACCCAACAAAAAGAGATTCTATAAACTGAGTAGAAAGTGAAAACTAGGAATCCAGGTAGATGGTAACTGGATAGTTCCTCATTCAGAAGGTTTCCCCACACACTGAGGAGCCCCAGGCCCCAAGATAGAAAGCTTCTGGCCTCGGGAAAAGGGCAAGACAGAGGAAGACAGTCAAACGACTCAAAGCAGAAACTCAGTCCTCTGAGATTCAGACAAAGGGACTTGGAGGGAAAATGAGATTTACCTGAGTTTGGAGAGAGCCCAGTGGCTATTTCCCAAAATTTCAGAGCCCAGTTATCAAAGCTTCATTGGATCCAAGTCTTGGACAGTTACTAAAGCAAAGCTTCATTCAGTGAAGGTCTAAGAATTTTAAAAGAGAGGTGAAGCAGAGCCTGTAAGTGAGGGGAGACACATGAAAACACAGATGAGAGAAAATGGTCAAGAGAGAGGTAAGAGACATAGATAATGGCTGATTGGATGTCCAAAATCACTTTCTAAAGAGACCAGGATTCTGGTACATTTATTTTACCAGATAAAATAAATCTCGTACATTTATTTTAGAGTATCTATCACTTATTGACAAACCTAGCAAGAAAAATAACATTTGCCTCTGGGATATCATTCCTAGAAGGGTGCTACTGCATTCCATTTGTTGATGGAATTTTCTAGTCATTATTTTTTTCAATTAAACTATCCAAGTTTAGCTGGGTTGAAACCAGACCGTGGTTTTCGAAGAGCAGACAAATTGAGGCCAGACTATATTCTAAACTCCCCCATGTTCTTGTTTCATTACGTTCTTGAAACCCAGATCAATTTTATGAAAAAGTTGATTAACCTGGGCTTGATTCTTAACAAACCTGTTCCAGTTAGAATTTGAGGCTGAAAAGAATTCAGTTTTAATTTGGGGCTGCAGTGCTCACAGTAGAAGTGAAACTAAACTGAAGAGGAGGAAAAAATTATTAAGTGATAAAATTATTAACCCAAATTTCAGAACAATGAGTGGACAATAACTGGTAAGAAAATATTTCCAAATCTAAAAAGCCCAGCAATTACTCTAAGATGATAATTCTAAAGTAACTTTTCTGGTTAAGTTCAAACTTTCCAAACATTCACCCCTTATCTGAAAGTGAACAATGAGAAAATTCAAACTAAAAGTCATTGTTAACTGCGTGCATGAGAGTTGCGTTTTCAGGATGGAACTATCGAGTAATCGTTGTTATTTTCTAACTGCAATATTGAGGTGAAAGACAAAATGTTAATGAGGCCAGGGAAGAGAAGGACAGGAAAGAGAGAGTGGGAAGGTGTGAAGGGAGCGGAAGAGAGAGAAAAAATGAAGGAACGCAGAAGAGAGGAAGGGAAGGAGGAAGGAAGAAAGGGAGAGATGAGCTGGAGGGAGGAAGGAGAGAAAGAAGGTAGAGAAGGAGGGAGAAAGGAAAGAAGGCACGCAAGCAGACAAGGATTATTGTCCATGCATTCTCTGAGTGACTCATTTCTGACCAAATCCCCCAGGAACAGAATACTGTTAGTCTTATTCTGACTCTTCCCCTGCATGTTTTTTTCCTCAGTCATGTCTGAACCTTTGAGACCCCATGGACTGTAGCCTGCCAGACTCCTCTATCCATGGAGAAACATCATTTTCCTTGGTGCAGAATGTACCATCTGGACCAATCCCCGAGAGTTCTATCTCCAGGAAATCACAAAGTAATTGAGCCAATATCAATACCCAACTCCCACTATTATAATCTCTCTAAGTCAGGGTTTCTCATCTTCAGAACTATATACATTGGGGACCAAAATGGGATTAAACCTGTAAGGGTTTTGTTAGAAGAATTACCCATGACTGAAAATGGGGAGGGAGACAGGGATTGCTGGGAGAAACATCAGATCGTGATGTAAATCTGACCCTGTGAGGGAAGGAAGGAGGGCAGGAAGTTTGGGTGGAAGTGTTCTAGACCCCTGTGGAGTCTAAGAAAGGTTTGGCCAAACCGTCAAGGTCCTTAAACCAAGGTGGACCATCTGGAACAGACTTGCTTTACAATTACTGCCACGCCCTGTGGGAGGCAAGACTTCAGCCTAAACAGGGCAGTGATTGCCAGAGCCCTTGGCCATCACCCTCCTTATATTACAATGGGGTGTGGGTGGCGTCTGTGAGGCACATTCTCAAGGATGCCATAGTCCACTCCTTGTGCCATATGGATCCACTCTCACAGGTTCTGGTAGCTCCTCTCTCACGGTTCCTTGGGCCTTTCTGCCTGAGGGAAAATGCAAAAGAGGAAGATCAATGAATAAACCACCATCCTTAATCCTGCGATTGATCTCAAGGCCACAACTAGTCTTTCCCTCTCCCCCCTCCACTCTAAATTCCTTCCCCACATCCTCAGCTATTACCTCCACAGGTCTCAGGGCCTTTCCTGGTGGTGTGACCCAAACCTGTGTTTCTGAGGGGTCTTAGCCTTGATAATCACACCCTTCACAGTTTGTGGTTGCTACACATGTCTGTTCATAGTTACAAAGTGGCAAGACCCAGGAAGTGGATCATCTGTGTTCCATCTGTGTTCCTCTGTCCCACTGTAGAGAGCATGCCTACCTCCTCCTCTGATCAGGGTCAATTATCTGTACCAATATGTTGACTTTTCTTCCTGCCCGCTGGTCCCGGGACACAGGACTTCAAGGTATCCTCCTGGCAGTTGGGATCCTTGCTGTGTCTTCTAGCAAGAATGTGCTCCCTTTGAGTGGCAGAAACATGACGTACAGAATCCCCCAGTGGGTCATTTATGGGGAAAGATGGTAAATGACCCACTTTTGCTTCTATCTTTTCATCCTTGGACTCATGTTCCCTTCCTACTGGGGACACAGCACCATACAGGAGTCTCTGACTTAATAAATACATTGCATCCTAAAGGATGATACCCTATCCTTCCAGAGAATTTCCTCCAAGCTAGCATTTCAGCTGCTCCTTTCAAAGGATGTTGCAGCAACACCATATGAGGCAGACTGCCTCCGGGTACATTAAGTGATACAACAGTGGACGTGAACCCATTGCAACACCACCTTCAAGGTGAAGTACATCCCTTGGTCAGATGATCTATAGAATGATACTCTCTGCCTGTGGGTTCAACATTCTACAATGGGTGGTAGTGTTGGTGTGGGTCTCTGCAGGCAGAAGAAGCATATATCTGTCCCCAGAAAAGGTTATCTGTCCCTGTGTGGATGAACCACTGGACATTTCAAGGATAGAGAGGTCTCAATGTGGTCAGATTTTTACTAAGTGGCCCACTGATCTCCCCAAGGAATAGTGCCATATGGGACACTCAGTATCGCTAACAATGTGGACATCCATAGACAGCATTTACTAGATCTGCCTTGGTAAGCAGAAATCCATGCTACTGGACCAATATGTCCTGTCTCTCTCTCTCTCTCATGCTATTCATATGTCCGTTTGACCAGTTCCAGTGATCAGTGATGAAGTCTGGCTAATGTCAACTGGCCAAGTCGTTTTGTCCACTTGGTTGTCCTGTGCTTCTTCCTTGGTGAGTGTTTTCTGATGGGCACTAATGTATGAAACAAAAATCTTTGTACCTGATGCTCTTTTCCATATGTGTAGCCTCAAGACTACATTGAGGTCTGCCTCAGACCTTCTTTTCTCCAGTCTTCTAGTTTTTCTCTTTCTTGATCAGGTGACCATGCCATTGACCACATTCCAGGATCTATATTTTCATTTCATACCGCTTCTCTTTCCATACAAAGTGGGTGACTGGGAGCACAGCACACAGACCTGCCCACTGGAAGGATTGATTGTTCCTCTTCACCTTCAGGGCTACTCCTGAATGCAGTTATAATGCAGCCACTGTCAACACTCAGCTTGCGGTCAAGTACCAAGGAGCCACTTCTAAACAAAACTCTGGCTGTTCTCCCCGCTTTCAGCTGGTCATTCTGGAATACCCATTTGGTCATTGGTATAAACTGGGGAGGGGCACTGAAACAACTGGGTAGATGGCAAGGGCTCTGAGCCATCTGCTCATGCAGCTTATTCATGCTCTCTAGTTCTTCTTGGGCGCAGTCCCCAATATACCATTTACAACTCATGATTGACTATTTTGGTGCCGTATGACTTTGATGACTTGGTAAATCTAACAGAACCCAGCTCATAAAGGGAAGTTCCAAATACAGAGTCTCTTGGACTTTTACAGTCAAGTTCTCTACCTCTGTTGGTATCCAGTAACAAACCAAGAGCTGTTTCTTAGAAAGTAGTGCTGCAATGCCATGGCCTTGCTCCAGAATCCCAGAGGCCCTCATTATACTTCTCCCACTACAGCTTGTGATACTACTAACATCTTCTGTCCAGAAGGTCTGCTGGATCACATGACCCAAGTGGCAGGACTAATTGTACTATATCCTGTACCTCTATAATGTATTTTTCTGCTTCGAACTGAATGCAAAGCTGGCAGCCTTTCTTGTCTCCCAGTACAGGGGTAGGAGCAAAGTTTCTAGATGTGGATGTGTTGCCTCTAGAACTCAAAGAGGTCTACCAGATGTTGTTTCTCTTCTTTTTTCTTTTTGTGCATATCTGTGTGTCTGTGTATGTGTATTTGTCTTCTACTTTGGAGGGGATATTTCAGCATGGATCTGAACACTGGACTCTAAAATCTGGCCCTGACTTCCCACCCACTAGAGCACATATGGTTTACCAAGGCCCTGAATACCAGTCATCTTTTGCTTAACCTGTCCAATCACCTTGAGGTCATTGATGAAACAGATCAATGTGATGTTCTGTGGGATGTCTAGGTGGTCCAGGTCTCTTCAGACTATTCTATGACAAAGGATGGAAGAGAGGTGAACCTGAGACAACATCTTAAATGAACATTGTTGTCCATCCCATGTGAATGTTGTTTCCAATCCTCTTTCATAATTAGAATAAGAAAAAGCATTTGCCAAGACAATAGCTACATATCTTAAGTCTGAGTCTTTACTCATCTGCTCTAGGAATGATTTGTCATCTGGTACAGCAGCTGCATGTGAGGCTGCTATTACTAATCTGCAGAAATATTAGGATCCATCCATATTCTAGAAGGGACTATTCTGGTAAATTAAAATGGAGATTTGGTAGCAACTACCACTCCTGTGTCTTTTAGGTCTTCAATGATGGCACTCCTCTCCACAATCACCTCTCCCCAAGATATGACATTGGTGCCTGGGAGGAGTCTATTATCTTGGATACAGCAGAAAGGGTGTTGGGAAATTTCAAAGGTTTCCACTTGGTCTTCCCCTCTATGATAACCCTTATGCCACAGACCAGGAAACCTGTATGAACTTACTCCAACTTCCAAATATATCAACTTCTATTTTGTAATCCTCAAGGATTCCATTTATTACTTGGCCCCCACAGGTTTCCCTGGTGGCTCAGACGGTAAAGAATCCACCTGCAATTCAGGAGACCTGGGTTCAATCCCTGAGTCAGGAAGATCCCCTGAAGAAGGGAATGGCAACCCACTCCAGTATTATTGCCTGGAAAATCCCACAGACAGAGGAGCCTGGCAGGCTACAGTCCATGGGGTTGCAAAGAGTCAGACACAACTGAGCAACTAACAACACATGGGCTCTAGTTCTAACAAAGGGTGCCATGATGACACTTGGAAACTCCAGTAATTGATGTTGTATTAGACCCTCTGTCCGTTAACCTTCAATATATCTGGTTATTCCCCTTTCCCTCACTTGAGTAAGCGGTCATAAGTCCCCTGGGAGAAAGATTCAGGTAACTGTCACAATATATTCTTACCACAGCGCTGAAGGGTCCTTCTTCCTAGGCATCTGGTCACCTCTTCAGTCAATGGATTCTAGATCTGAAAATTGGCTCAAGTCAAGGAATTGAGAAAGGGATTTTGACTTTTTATTTGGGTGATTGTCCTCAGACCCCTGATTCTCTACTCTTGCTTCCTTTTTCTTGCAGTCGCATGACTTCCCAGAGCTCTGTCATCCCCACGGATGTTAATAAGCCCAGACATGTGACGGCTGTCCTACCATAATCTCTCCATACAGAGGAGGCAACCTCTGCATTGCTGATGCCCCTCTCCCCAGCACATTCTCTATGACCTTGGTGAATGATTTGTCCATGCCCACTTCATCAGGCTCTTTGTTCCTTCCTTTACCATCTTCCAGGTCAACTCAAGCATTTCCATTTCATGAGTAGTGGCCATTGCTTTATCCAGCCTCTAGGTGAGTTTGACCCATCCCGTAATTTCACTATGGTGTTAAATCCATGTCTCAAGAAAGTACTCTTAAGTCAACTAATCCATAAAATTGTGGATTAACAGAATGAAGAAAAATAGCAATCTGAGGTGCTGTTGCCTGGGAAATGTTTAATAATATTCCACAGAATGGCCAGGAAGATGGAGATCCAGCTTCTCTGGAGGTTGCTGCCTATTTCTTGAATCTTCCATAGTCCCACACCTGCTTTTTTGTGGATCAATCCACTTAACCTATCAGTATCTTTGAAACTTATTTTGTGCATATAACTCCCTCTGCCTGGGCTGCCTTACCTTTTCATTAGCCTGGTAAATGCCTACTCTTTCCATGAACTCTTTTCTTCTCCTGCATCTCCACCCCAACAGATTTACCACTCCTTCTTCTGCCATGACCTTATCACCATCTTTTGTTAATTTGCAGAGCTCCTCATTATATTCTATTCCTCGAAGACAGGGACCACATCACTTTCATCTTCATGTCATCATCACTTTGAACAGTAAATGTGCACATAATAAATAAATAAAATGCTTGAAGCTTATGTCCCAGAGGAGATGTAAACATGTAGCATAGCTTGACATTCGTATTTTGTTTTAATCTGCCCTCTTTGCATTTCTTTTCTTTGGTCAGTCAGCACACTCATCTAACCATTTTATCAGACTACCTCCCACTATGGTGACTTCTGAAAGGCAGTAAGAAAACTTTTCCAAAAGTGCCAACAGTCTGAGTTTACAAGTTTGAGGTTCCAGGCAGGTGTCAAAAATGACAATGAGTATTCCAACAGTCAGGCACTGAGACTTTTTAAATATCTAGATGTGGAATGTTCAATTGAAAAACTTGTGGAAGCCAAATCAGAGCCTTCCATTTTAATCCGGACATAGCCCTGCTTTTACCAGTAAACTGGAATCAGTTTCCTAATAAAGGAATCCCAGGCTGCGCATATGAATTTGCAGCTTCCCATAGCACTTGCTCAGCCTCCAAGATGCACAAGAAGGAGATCCTACATAGTATCCAGGTGTCCATGGAAAGAGATATTCAATGGCTTTGGGCTAAGAAAAGAATAATAAAATTATATCCTTAAGATTCCTGCATCACAAACTCTTCACAAGTTGCTTTAAAGCAAACTTGAAGTGAAGTTATAACTGTCAAGAATACACACACACACACAACCCAGGACCCACACAGCAAACATCTCAGCAATGTTCTATCTTTCCCGGAATAGTAATAGCTTAACAGTGAGCATGGAGTGTGGGAGGGAGGCTCCAAGAAGAAGTCTCCCACTCCTCTTCTCATCTACATTCTCCCACAGTTCTCAGCCTAAGCCTCACTCACACGGTCCAGAAGAAACATAAGGCTTATCATATGCTTGACTGCAAGCCATAACTTAACATTAGAAATGTATGAGGAACTGGGTGTGCTGGAAGGAGATCAAGCAAAAGCATCTGTAAGCTGAAAATACGTTGAAAACATATTACAAGATGATAACCTAAAGTTTCAGTGGCTTTGCTAAGCCGGAAAGAAGGGAAAAGGGAAAGAAAACACATTTCTCACTTCTAGAGTTGCCTCATTTAGGGTAACCAAATACTTGTCCAGTAGACTTCCTCAGGTCTCAGGCTCCAAAAAAGCTCAATTTACAAGATGTTGCACCTGTTCAGTCTTCCTATAGCCTATAAAATTCAGGAGCTTTGAAACTATGCCTATAAAATGAAAGAAAGTCTTTAAAAAGTATAATCAGGAGGGAAGGGAAGACAGAAAGGCTGCCCTGACACAATTCCAGCTTTTCCTTTTTCACTCTATAGCCCCTCCTTCAGCGAATACAGACAGTTCGAGATGCTTCCTTGTTAAAGTCATTTGACTCTGTTTAGTTCACACCCAGTCTTGTTTGGTCCCGGAAAAGGGACGAGTTAGGACTGGATATGAAATCTCAGGGAGTATTCCTGTACTATGGACCGACATTAATGAAATACACTGAGATGGCCTGCCACGGACTCCTGTCTCCCTTACCAGGAATTATTACTCATTTGTGTATCATGTAGTCTGAACCAGAAAAAAGCACCAGAGTGGAGAGAAAACAACAGGAAAGATGTCATGAGCAATACTTATGTGGCCGATATTGATATATCCATACATGGTATTGACATACGGGTAAGAAGTGAAATGAACTTGATTTTCCTCCACACAGAGTTGGTGGAATATGACTGATGATTGAATATAGAAAAGAAAGGATAAACCATGATCGGCAGAATCCAGTGCAAAAGAAGATGAGGGCAGAAAAGCACTCTGTTAATGTACCAGCAAAGAATATGATTCATAAAATCTAAGGCATGTCCTGTTTGAGGAGAGTGTTTATATTCATTTTTTATTATTTTTACTATAAAAGCAACATGGTAGCTATGTACAAGTTGGAAAATTCATAAAGCCAATAGAAATTCCTATATCCATAAATAGTGTGCTAACACAATTTTCTATGTGTACTTACTAGACTGTGGACAAAGGACTGTAGCAGTCTTGTTCACTGCTGTTAACTCAAGGAATAGTCTTGGGCTGCATAATTGAGCCATTTTTCTATGTATATACATTATATATATATATATATATATATATATATAAAATGGAATTATCCCATACACAGTATTTTTCATTTGTCAGTATATCATTGGTATATTTTCATGTCAATATATATCCATCTACAGCATTTTTTGCTATATTTTATGCTCATTGTTTGTACCATACATAAGTGATTTACATAAGTGATTCTTTTTCTATCTGAACCCTTGTAGGAGGCCTTTCCTCCCTTCTTATCTTCCTTTATCAGAGCTGTTCCCCGTTTCTTTGTCTTCCCTTTCCTTGTGTTTTATAGAAGTATTCTCACACATTTATGAGCATGATGGCTTCCTGAAGAACTGGTTAAAGATTCTGACTCTGGACTCCAGCCCCTAGAAATCCAAATTCATTTGATGGAAGCCAGTCATTAGAACCTGTACACTGTAAAAAGATCCCAGGTGATCCATCTGTGGTGGAGGTGGGCAGACACACTGTGAGAATCACCATTTTGCCAAAGTACAGAATCCTGCAAATGTGTTTTCACTCTTTCTCGATAATTTCAATCTTCCACCCTCTGGAATCCCTAGACCTGTTTTGAGAGGAACATAAAAGATCTGCTTCTAGATCCCAGATATCCAAAGAAAAGGACTTGGTGCTTATAGATTCTTAGCTATAGGATGAGCCAGAACATATCAGTCAGAGACTGATTTATCAGTCAGGCCTAATCAGTTCTGCTGGTTCCTGAAAACAGCAAAGGATTTGAGAGAAAACAGTGACAGAAGGACCCTCTCCTAAGGTCCTCTGATAAAACTGTAACCTAATATTTTACTGATGCCTTTGAATGCATATGTATGTGAGCATGTGTGTGTTCCGTTACACTGTACCACCAATTAGCCTATAAAAAGTCCAACAAAGTCAGAAAACATCCTGGAATTTCCTGTGTTGTTTGCTTTGCCTGCCCTCCACCACTGTCTCTCATCCCTGTCTTCGGTGAGGTGCAGGGAAGAGGCTGGCACAGGGAAGAAGATGAAGAAAAGTCACTTACAGAGCCTTTGAGTCAACTCCTTTTCCACGGACAGGCTTGGAACCCCGTGACTTACTGGAAATCAAATAACAATAAGCTGACCTTGCAGTCTGTGACTAAACAGTGTGTTAGTCACTTAGTCGGGTCCGACTTTTTGCCACCCCATGAACCCACCAGGCTCCACTGTCCATGGAATTTTCTAGGCAAGAATACTGGAGTGAGTAGCCATTCCTTTCTCCAGGGGATCTTCCTGATCCAGGGATCAAACCTGAGGCTCATACATTGCAGGCATATTCTTTACCATCTGAGCTACCAGGGAAGTCGACTTACTGGATAGTAAGCTACATAACAATAAACTGATCGTGCATTCCATGGCCAAACAACCTCTGTCTTAATTTCCTCTTTCAAGGATGGGGTGGGAACCACAGTGGCAGTGGTCAATGAGTGTGATCCCTAAAACAAGGCTGGTGGTGGATCTGGAGTCATGTGATAGGAGGAAAAGGAAAGACAGGCAGCCCTCTGGTAGCCCACCTCCCCTCTTCACCAGAGGCTGGCACAGATCTGACTATGTGAGATGCCTTCTGAAAACTCTTCTAAGACCATCATTATATTTCATGTTATATTCAAACACTTGAGCATGGTTACCCAGGACCTTCACGATCTCACCAGTGTTTCTATCCCTCCATACTCACCCTTGCCTCTCTTCTCTCCAGCCCTTCCTCAGCACATGGACACACACACACCTACTATGTGCTTCAGTCACAAGCACACTCTACTCAGATCCTCAGAGTCACTACTCCCCCTGACTTCCTCCAGTTTGGATCACTCTTGGCACCTCTCCTCTTGAAGAACTTCTATGTAGCTCTTACATCTCAATTTGGACACTGCTTGCTCTAGGAAGCCTGCCTTCATCCCTCCCGCTCCATACCAAGTTGAATAAAGGACACCCAAAGACATCATTTCTTTGTCCCTGGAATTTCCTCATTTACAAAAAGGGTCTTTGCAGATGTAATTAAGAATCTTATGATGATA